GGGGGGGGGGAGCACGAACAGCTGCAAGGGATGGACAAACCACGGAGAGCTGTCGCTTCGCCTGAGAATCTATCGCTCACGCCTGCCGCGCAGCGCACCTGCCCCGCCCGCGTGCTCGTCTGTGCGGGCACGGCGTCGTACTTCTGTGAAACAATGCCGTCCAGGCCTTGTGAGTGTGGGTGAGGGAGGATGCATGCACAGGGTTGGGACGCAGTCAATTAGGGCCAGGGTCAGGATAGCGCCCATGCGCGTCCCTGCCTTGCACAAATGTGCACAAAACCGTTGTGCAGCGGCACTGGCTCGAACTTTCACTGATTCGGGCCCCGCTGCACCACCAGGGCGTCGCCTGCGCTCCATCTCCCTCTGGCCCCCAGTCTGCTGGGGAAGCCCCTAAACCCTCACGGTGCTTTGGTGAACCGCCCTGAACATACAGCCCTGCCTTCTTCCACCTTCTCCACCCCCATGCGCTCACGTGGCTTCACCAAGCGCAGCGCGTCCCCGTCCGCCGCAGGCGCGCCCCCGCTGCTGCCGTTGGCGGCCGCGGTCTCCGCCTCGCTGGAGAGCACGCTCATGTCGGGAGCGTCGCCCGCGGCCGGCTGCAGCGTGTAGCGGCGCGGCATGGCTCCGTCCACCATTGACTCTGCCGGTGTCGACCAAAGGCAGCGCGCTTTGTCGTAAGAGTTTTGTGTTGCAAATGTCTTTCAGAGCGTGGCTTTCAGGGCAGGGGTGAGGTTTGGCAGTGGCGTCTGTCTGTGTAGCGTGCGGCTGTGCGGTGCTCCGAGAGAGTGATCAGGGCAGCCGGCGCCGCTTGGCGGTGCAGGTGTAGCGTGCGGCTGTGCGGTGCTCCGAGAGAGTGATCAGGGCAGCCGGCGCCGCTTGGCGGTGCAGGTGCGACCCGTTAAGTTGGCAGCAGCTGCATGGCTGAGGGAAGAGGGCGCACCTGGGAGTTCCAGCATCGTGACCGACTTGCCCTGCGGCGTTTTTCGATTTGCATTGAGGGCACATGCCATGTGTCACCAGCAGGCCGACCGGTGTTAGCACGGGCGCTGACAGCGGCCGCTGGCTCGACCATTGAGAGTTGCCCATTGAGGAACGCAGCGGTGCCGCACATTGCCCTGCCGCTTTTTGCTGTGTCCCTGCTCCTGGAGGCGATGCTGTTGCCACGCCTGCCCCTCGTGACATGTGCATAGGATCGGCAGCTGCAGCGCTCACGTCTGGAAGGTTTGCGATGGTGATCTTGCCCAGCGTGCTGCTGCTGCCCTCCTCATCCATGTCCTCGTCTGCGCCTTGCGCGCCCTGCCCGCACGCCCTCTTCCAGCGCTCGGCTATGTAAGGCGGCACCTGCCGTGCGCCGCAGGTGCAACATGGGCAAAGCGCATCCAGCGCTTCAGCACGGCGTGCCGGCCATACGCCCGTAATCGGGTGTGGCAACCACATTCACTCACCCTGACAAGCCACATACGGCGCTCAGCCCTCTCAGTATCCAGAGACGTCATTATTGGCTCAGCTGCTCTACCTATGCGCTCCTAGTTCTTGATCAGATAATGTGATAGATTGCTCCGATCTATCATAACATCGTACACGCACGCAGAAAGTTTCGCAAGATCACTGCAGATCTGAGCATGCCCGTGCTGTATCGATAAGTTCATGCCAGGTGAATGTAGAATGAAAAATCAAAGTCTGGGGCGTTCCAGCTCGTATCAAACTGTCGGTCGCTCACCCGTGCGAGCAAAACGCCCACATCGTGGTCTCCAGCACGCGCCCGCGACCGCGCCGGGCAGCCCCACGGCGCCATCAGCTATGAAGCTGTACATAGGCAACCAGAACTATTCCTCCTGGTCTCTGAGGCCCTGGCTCCTCCTGCGCGAGGGCTGCAAAGTCCCGTTTGAAACCGTCAAGATCTCCCTCGCCGATGTGGCGCCTGGCTCGCCCTTTCGCAAGGAGGTCGAGCGCATCAGCCCCGCAGGCCGCGTCCCCGTTTTGCAGGACGACGACGGCTTCGCCGTGTGGGACTCCCTGGCCATCACCGAATACCTACACGAACGCTTCCCCTCGGCCGGCGTGTGGCCGGCCGACGCCAAGGCGCGCGCGCGCGCGCGCTGCGTGGTGGCGGAGATGCACTCCGGCTTCTCCGCGCTGCGCGGCGCCTGCCCCATGAACCTGGAAGCTGACCTGGCAGCAGTCGGGCGGCGCCTGTGGGAGGAGAACGCCCCCCTGCGGCGGGACGTGGCGCGGGTGGAGGAGATCTGGCGCGACGCGCTCGCGGCCAGCGGCGGCCCGATGCTCTTCGGGGCGTTCTCAGCCGCGGATGCGTTCTACGCGCCGGTGGTGACGCGGCTGCAGACGTACGGGCTGCCGGTGTCGGCGGAGTCCGCCGCCTACATGGAGAGGGTGCGGGCGCTGCCGGCCTTCAAGGAGTGGACCGAGGCGGCGCTGACCGAGGGGGAGTATGTGGCGATGGACGAGCCGTACCGCGCAAGCCGCGATGGTTGAGTGGCGCGGGTGGTGGTTGGCGCTTTTGGCTGGCTGGCCCTGGGCTGAGCAAGCGCGGCAAAGCACTACGGGCTGCCGTTCCCTTTGTCAGCGGGCGCGCAGCGCATTCTTATACCTGCCTGTCGTCATCACGCCTGCAAGCGTGTCTGCAAGCACTACATGGCGGCACGGCCGCTGCAGCAGCGCAAAGCATGGGATTCGCTGTTGCCGCGAAGAAATGCACTGTTTGTGTTTGTTGGGCAACCTGGAGCTTAAACAGGCCGCGCCAACTGGGTCACACGATGCGCATGACCCACACTCGTCTGCCCAAATTGGCGCTTTGGAGCGCCGCCCCTGGCCCGCGCGCTGTGGGGCGGCCGCGCGTGTCTGGTTTGACGTAGCGAGGCGAGACTGTGCTGCCCTCGGGATCGATGTCCCCGTTCACCTAGACGACCGCTGCTCTGACCGCCCCGCTTGAAAGAAGGCTTGCTTATCTCTCCTGCCAAGGAGGCGTGCGCCCTCTTACTAAATTCCGACTTGGCTGCACCCCCTTTCTCCTCTGGCCTTTACGGTTAGGGGCGTTACCCCTTTGGGGAGCCAGGGTTTCTCCCCTCGCTGCTGGAAAAGCGTGATGTAATGTAACCTGGAGCTTGCAAGAGCCAGAGTTGCTATATGCAAGGCTGTGTGCACCACTTTGCAACGTGGCTGTTGCGTGGTAATGACGGGTGCCCACGCGGCGGCTGCCGTGCATAGGGGGCGGGGAAAGGCGGATGTCGCCGTGTAGAGAAGATGCGTGTGTTTGTCTGTGGTGATGCCGGCCACAATCCAAGTGTATTTGCAATACTTTCGATCATGCATCGATTCTCTGTAGGAACCGACCAAATACGAAATCACCGCATCGACATGCGTGCCGCAACGACCTGCAGCACTGATCAGCATGCTGCGCCAATGACGGTCAAGCAGCACAGCACAGCGGGCGCCACAGCACAGCTACCCACTGAGGGACGGCGGGCGCGGGACAAGAGGATCACTATCTGATTCGATACTCCAACCCTGTACCAACGACTTTGCACCTTCAAAAGCTGCTCAGCAGGGCCCCACCACGATCTCGTAGGGCCGAAGGTCTCCTGTCAAGCGTGAATCGGGATCACTTGCAAGAGCAGGGCGTCTGCAGACATGTTGCCGCAAAGGAGGCTGCTTAACCTAGACTGCAGCGCGCGGCAGGTGTGACGCTGGGGATCTCCCTGCTCCTGGCCGGTGATTGCGTTCATTATATGAGACCCTGTGCTATCAAACACGTCTTGCTGTCGCAGAGTTGTGTATCCCGTGCAGTTGCGGTCCAGCGGCGCAGCGCAGGCGCAGGCGGTGCGTTTTTCCATGCACGCCCTGGTTGTGCATGTGGTCGCGTCTGCGCCGGGGCCGCCTCACCATACGTGGTATTGCAACAGCTGCAATGGAAACTTTGTTGCTGTGCTTTTTGAGCTCGCGTCCATGTTCCGCATGCACGTAAGGGCCAATGTGCCTGCGTGAAAGCGCCAGGGGTGGCGGGGATTCTGCGACACCCCACCTTTTGTCCCTGGATGCGGCCAGCACATCGCCAAGGGCCTGATTTATGCCCCGCATGTATGCAGGCAAAACCGCGTTCTCAGGGACGCGTGTGGCGCCACGCGTCAGCAATGGCAGCATGCGCAAGTGGCGGATGGCGCAGTGGCTAGACAACAGGTGCGCATGTTGGCACCGGCGCTGCTCGGCGCGGCTGCTGACGCTGTATACCGCCTGGCACTGGTGATGGCCTGGACCACCACCAGCATCATGATTCCATGTAGCTCAGTCAGGCCACCTGCAGCCACACATCACCCACCGTACCACACCACGCCCTGTCAACCTGTCAACCTGTCAATCTCAAGGGCCGAGGTGGAGGTGCCTGTGCCGCTGGAGGTGTGCTGGACGCTCTGGGACGACCGGGAGCGCATCCCCCAGTGGATGCCCTGGATCAAGAGCGTCAAGGTGCTGCCCGAGGACCAGCGGCTGTCGCGGTGGACGCTGGCGACACGGCAGTTCGGCAGGTGCGTGTGGGCCCGAGGGGAGGAGCGGAGGGAGGGCCGCATTTAATTATTGCCTGTGTGGCGTGTCTGAACGTACATCCTACACCTTAGGTGCAGGATCGGCACGCAGGCACACACACAGGCGCACACACAGGAGATGTGCACAAAACCACCTGCTTCACCAACTGACTCCTATGTTCCAACCAACACCCTGTCTTGACAACAATTGAAGGGACTGGGAGTTTTCCTGGCTCGCGCGCAACCTGGCGCCAATCCGCAACCAGAAGATACACTGGGCGTCGGAGCCCGGCAGCGCCAGCCTGCCCGGCCTCTCCATCAACAACCGCGGCCAGATTCGCTTTGTGCGGAGAGGGGCCGCGGCGTGCAGCGTCAGCCTGAGCATCGCGTACGAGGTGCCGGACGTGCTTGCGCCTTTTGCAAACGTGAGGGCGGGCGCGTGCGAGGGCGCGCATGCGCAGGGATGCCGCTGTCTGCCGCTGCTGCGACGCTGTGAAACACGCATCCCGCACGAGCATTTGCGCAGCATGGGAGCGGCGCCCCTCTGCTTGACGCCGCTCTGCTCGACAACCGGTGCCCAGGGTCGTGGTACGCTTACACTGATTGCAGCTGCTTCTGCCACAGCCGCAACTCTCACCCCTTCGCATCGCCCTGGGCAACCCCCAGGCTCTGACCCCGGTGGTGGAGGGCATCATAGGCCGCGACATGGAGCGCTTCCGCGAGTACGCCCAGGAGTATGCCAAAGCAGCAGCAGCAACAAAGAAGGCAGAGGCGTGAGGCAGGCGTCAAGGCAGCAGCAGCACCAAAGAAGGCAACGGCGTGAGGCAGGTGCCTGCTGGGATCAGGCACCTGCTGGCAGTTTGGCATTTCCAATTCAAAGCAGGATGATGGCGGTGCGGCCGGATCGATGCAGCGCTTGGTGGTGCTGCAACGGGCCCGCCCTTGCTCGGGTGCGGGTGGGCGCAAGCCGCCGGGGCTGCGAACTGCAGCTGCACCGCTGCATCCCCTGGCTTCGTTTCTGCAGAGCATGTTTGATTCGCGTGAGGGCGCTGCCGCCGGCATCTTGGTCTGTGCCTTGAGATTCCTGCCTGTTCGCTGTGGAGGCACGCGCGCGCCTCTGTCAATGGCGTATGCAACACCGCAATTCTGGCCGACGCCTGTGGTGATGGTCTTGCTGGCCACAGCACATGTAATTGCACTGCAATGTGAGGAGCTGTAATTTGTGAATTTTCTTCGCTGTGCAGCTAGTTGGAGACGCGCACAGGTGACAGTCAAGGAGGCTGCTTGCTGCTGCTGTATTTCCTCACGGCACGATGGGCTAACCAGTCTGTGACCCGACTCGGGTCGCAATGCATCTAGAACTAGACCTTTGATCGGTACTTCCGCAGTGTAGGCACTGTTGAGGGTAACACGCAAATCCACACCCCTCACCAAGGTTTGAATGGGAGTACGCAGCTGCCTCACGCGGAAAACACAACACCAGTGAGACATCCAGACATTAATACAAGGCCGGTCTCCGTGCTTGCACCAGTGCCTGTGCGCTCGTTTGATTGTCATGCCACGTGCGCGGATGCGTGCAGCTCTGCCGGTAGCTTGTCGTGCTCTGCTGCGCCCGACGTGAGCATGACGGCGGCCATCTGGCATAGCCGACGACTATGCTGCGACGTCTTGCATTGCTTTGACTTCGCTGATACGATTCCTTTTTGCCTGTGTACAGACGAACTCCTTACAAGCCTCGTTGGTTGCCGTAACGGTGACTTGCCTTGTCACTAGCAGATCCAAGATCAACTGCATCGCGCCTTCTATTTTCACACAAAATTCTGATGAAGATTGCCCGTCACTCAGCACTTCTGACGGCTCACATGAAGTGCTGAGTTGCTGTTTACAGGCACACCCACGTCTCTGGGACACCAGCAGCTCGATCAGCCTGCTGTATGATCCCCGCGAAGCTGCGTCACAAACGCCCGGCGCATCAGGCCGAAGAGGAGGAAGACCAGCCCGAGCCCGGCACCCCGCACGCGGCACAGCAGCACCCGGCGCGCGACACGCGCAGCGTCGCGGGCGACCTAGAGGACGAGGGCGCTGAGAAGCAAGCCAAGTCGCTGCGCATCACCACCTCGAAGATCCTGGGGACCGCGCAGCCGCGCAAGCCGCGGATCGGCCCGGAGTTCCAGGCCGCGATCCCGCCGGTCCCGCAGGCGCCGCCGCCGCGCACGCGCCCGCAGGCGGCGCAGGATCTCTGCCACGACAGCCAAGAGAAGCAGCAGGCGCCAACAAGTCACGCCCTGACAGGCATAGCCCCAATGGATCAGGAGTGAGGCTGAGGCGGGCGCCCAGCCGGCAGTAGCAGTCGCGGTGCGAGCAGGGGCAGGCCGCGCGCCTGCGCCAGCGCCGCGCGATGTTTGCGCGGCGCAAGGCCGCCAAGCGGTTCAGCTTGCTGCTGCTGGAGGATGAAGAGCTTTATGTCAAGGACTGGGTCGCGACGTGCAGGCAAGCAGTTTTTTTTACCTGTCACATGCATCTATCATATACGCGGTTCTCGTGCGGTTCCCAAAACTTGTTTTCTGGGAGTGGTGGAGGGGGAAAGCGTAGTACATGAGCAGCTGCGCCGAAAGCAGCTGCTTATCAGCGATGCAAAACCTATGCAAATGACGTACCTGTTGGGGCACATGCTCTCCTGCCTCAAAAAGCTTGCACACAAACACACGTGCGACTGCGCACACTTCATACACACAATTGAAGATGGCCCTCGTCTGTCGAGGGCAACTGGTCCGGCGCCGAGCGGCTGCCGGGGCGGCTGCGGCTGGCCACCAAGTCGCTGTTCTTTGAGCCTGACGATATCAGGGTGCCTATAGCCAGGTGAGGATAACCCGCAGCCCTAGGACACACGCGTTCAGGGTGCGGGCTTTTCCAGGGCAGCAGCTGGGCTCGTCTGATGCCCTGCACGCAGTGGCGCCGGCAGATGTACAAGCCCTGGGGTAGCGCGAGGGCGGTACGATGACATCAGCATGGTCACATTTAGCCAGGAGGGCCTAACCAACCGATTGGCCAAAACAGTGACACAGGCTTGGCACCAGAATTGACCGCGGAACGGGCGTATCCCTGTGCCGCTGGCCTTTCGTTTGGCCTGAGCAAAGGGGGACAGCAAGCCTCAACTCTGCTCCCGGGGCTCCCGTCATCACCCTGTGCTGAGCGAGCCCCTCTGAAAATGCGCGTGCCGCGTGTCGCGCGACGCCCCGGCCTCCCCAGGCTGCCGTTTTCTGCGCTGACGCGGCTGGAGGCGGAGGGCAGCCAGGCCGTGGTGCTGAGCACGACGCAGGTGACGCGCATGAAGGTCAACTGCGAGGACGCGCCCTACGCAACGGACAAGGTGGGGCCGGGGGATTTGTCTGGGTGCCTTCTCACGCACTTGCATCACTTCAGTATCAGTGTAGCTTCCGACCCCACGACCTTCACAACCATCGAACGTGAAAGAGCCTGGCTGCACATGCGTATTGAGTCGTGCATGAGCAGGCACACACGTGCGCATGACCGCGCTGCCAGTTTTATCTCGTGAGTTGCTTTCTTAAACAGTGTTGGTGGCCCCCTTGTCCTCCCACCCTCGCCGTTTGCCAATCGCCGCCTCCCTTGGAATCACCACCACCACCACCGCCACACAGCACACACACACACACACACACACACACACACCCAACCATCACCCCCAACCACCACCATCACCACCCCTCCTGGCCCCGCCCCAGGGCAAGCCCTCCACCTGGGTGTTTGTGCTGTCATACGCCAGGCTGGATGACGTGCTGCCCCTCGCACACGAGTGCCTGGCCGTCAGCAGGCTGCCCTCCCCAGAGCGGTGAGCGGCGCTTTGCTTTGCTTCGCTTTGCTCTGCCTTGTTGCAAGCTTCCCGGCCAGGTGGGGGGCGCGGGCCGGCAGTCGGCGGGGAGGGGCTTAGGGGTCCGGCATGCTGGCGGACGGGCGGCGTGTCAGGGAGCGGCCGGTGGGGGCGACATCCTTGTGGGGGGGGGGATGCGCATCCGTGGCTTGGCTGTGATTAGCTCCTGGCAGCCCCTATATGGCTGGTGTTTTCGTGCACAGTACCCAGTCCCTGTATACGCCCCTTGCTTTGTTGCTCATGTTTGTCAATTCCATGCCGTGTGCCGCTCGCCAATCCACGCCACGCGCATTCTGTCGGCGGCCCCTCGTAATACCCTAAACCCATGATACGGTAACCCTAAACCCATGATACGGTAAACAATCTCCCCAGCTCCCAGATGCTGGAGGCCCTGGCGCGCGCCCGCGAGGACGCGGCGCGCTTCGACAGCAGCCGGCTCGCGGACTTTGGGGAGCGCCTGCTGTGGGAGGGCCCCGCGGCGCAGCTGAGCCCGCTGGTGCGGGAGCCGGGGCGGCTGGCACTCAGCGACGCGCGGGTCTACTTCCAGCCGCTCTACAACGTGGCGGGTGCGGGGTTGAGGGTTGCGGGTTGAGGGTCTAGGGTCTAGGGTCTACTTCCAGCCGCTCTATAATGTGGCCAACGCAGGGCAGTTGACGCGTGCGGTCGGTTCGTCCGCTCGTGATCGCTCCATATCTGCAGCGAGCGTGGCTGCAGCGTGCAGGCCGGGGCGCACGGCCGCTCCTGACACGCTCTGCAGCGGAGTCAGCGCCGAGGTCGGATGCGTGCGTTGGGGCAAGGGGTGGCAACACCTTCCCAGGAGCTGCCGGGCGGGATCAGCCAGTGAGTTGCAAGCCGTCTTACTCCTCACCCTCCGACTTGTTCAACGCCCCACGCACGCACAATACCCTCTTCCCCTCTCCTCCCATTCCTGGGGCAGGCGACTCCCCGGTGCGGAGCCACCCCCTCGCCGCCGTCGCCGCCGTCGCGCGCCGCCGCGCCGCGCTGCGGCCCATGGGCCTGGAGGTCTTCTTCGTATCGCCCGCGGCGGGGCCAGGCGGCGCGCCAGGCGGCGGAGGCGGTGGCGGGGCCAAGGCGGCAGCGGGGCCGTTTTGGGAGGGGCCGAGCGCCTTCTTTGCCTTTAGGTGAGCCCAAAGGACCTCTACTGATTCCAGTGCATTTGGCTGGGTTAGTTGTTTGCAAATTGGTTACTTGTGTAGATGTTGTGGCGACATGCGATTCGGCACTCCCTGCATAATGCGACTGCTGCTGCTGCAGCAGGGGTGCCCTAGCATTGGTCCTCCCACCGGCACCCCCAGGGCACCCCCATCCCTTGCCGCCCGCCTCGCCTCTGCTGCGCCCGCCACCCGCAGGTGTGAGGCCGACAGGGAGAGGGTCATCAGCCTCATGCGCTCGCAGCCCGCGCTCGGCGCCGCCGTCGCAACAATTGCCGGCGCCCAGCAGCAGCAGCAGCAGCAGCAGCAGCAGCAGCAGCAGCAGCAGCAGCAGCAGCAGCAGCAGCAGCAGCAGCAGCAGCAGCAGCAGCAGCAGCACGCAGGTGCCGGGGGTGGCACGGCGTCTTCCCAGGCGTCCGTACCCCCAACCCCACCCGGCCCCGGCTCCCCGCCGTCGCCGCCGCCGCCGTCGCACGAGGCGGCTGCGGCGCTGCTCGACGCGGGCGCGGGCGGGTGGCTGGCGCGCGTCACGGTCGCGTGGCAGCGGGGGCGTCTGTCAAACTTCGACTACCTCCTATACCTGAACCTCGCGGCCGGCAGATCTTTCAACGATCTCGCCCAATGGCCCGTCTTCCCCTGGGTACTCGCCGATTACACCTCGGACCGCCTCGATCTTTCGAACCCGTCCACCTTCCGCGATCTGGGCCGCCCGATGGGGGCGCAGTCCGAGGGGCGGCTGCGGGACTTCCGGCGGCGGTTCAAGGAGATGGCGTCGCTGCCGCCTGACGTGCTGGGGGGACCGCCCTTCATGTATGGCACCCACTACTCGACACCAGGGTGCGGGGGGTGGGGTTCGCTGCGCGAGGAGCGCGAGCTGCTTGCGAAGGGCACGTTGCGTTGTTTTGATTGGTTGTTTCAACAGCAGCGAGGGCTACGGCAGCCGCTGTCGGCTGCGGGACAAGGGCGATTATCATCAGAGGGAGCGCCAAAGCATCTCCGCACCGGAACACGCCTCCCTCAAACGCACGCACCTGCGCGCGCACATGCACACGCTCACGCACACGCGCGCACACACACACACACACACACGCACACGCACACACGCACACGCACACGCACACGCACACGCACACACAGACACACACACAACACACACACACACACACGCACACGCACACGCACACACAGACACACACATAACACACACACACAACACACACACACACATGCGCGCGCGCGCAGCTACGTCCTGTACTGGCTCGTCCGCGCCGCACCCGGCCACATGCTGCGCCTGCAAGCCGGCCGCTTTGACTCCCCGGACCGCCTGTTTGGGGGCATCGCCGAGGCCTGGGGCAGCGCCACCAGCGGCCCAACAGACGTGAAGGAGCTGATTCCAGAGTTTTACATGCCCGGTGAGACAACAGGGGGTGGGAGGGGGCCGGAGGGGCGGCGGCGAGGATCCACGGCCCGCCGGCCTTGAGGGGTGAACCCTGCAGACGGCGAGAGGGTGCGCGCTCGCTGCCGGGCGGCGCAAGGGCTGCTGGGCGGCGCCCTGCGGCCGCGTGTGCACAACCTTTGCTATGGTAGCTTCTGCTCGTCTCGTCCCTGTGCTCGCAGGCGTCTTTGTCACTGAGAGAGTGGCTGTCTCCGGCCTCAGCCGCAGCATGCTTCACGCC